TCCCATTTTAAGGAGTTGAATTGTAACTTTGGCTCTCACTTTATAAGAGTGTGGAAACACTTTGCACATATGGAGAGAAAGCATCCAGGAGAAACCATCTTTGCCAAAGTTTTGGGAGCTTTGCAAGCCAGGATGTCATAATGGTTATGTGTTGCCTATTAGAAGAATCCTTCCTAGCCTTGAGTCCTGCTCCCTCCTGGAAAAGTTTGTGGTGTAATTCCTGCCAGACCTCCCTTGTCAATCCAGTTCCTCTTTCTGGCTGGCTGTAATGAGACCAAAGAGGAGCTGCAAAAGAGTTTCATTCTTAGCAGCTTGCCAAAGGTCATTCGTGGGCCTAATAGATACGTAGCCCTGCCCTGAGCCCAGAGGTGGAAGAATGACATTTTATCCTACTCACTGATTTGGTAGGATGTACATGATTTCTTTTCTCATTAAATATTCAGGAATTAAACACACTGTAAAAGATAGTGATACCTCTTTTACAATGAAGTCATTTAAGGAACTGTCCATCCTGAAAAGAGGGGTAACCTTCTTCTGTAGGTTCAAAGCAGCCACAACAACCCAAGGCCAGTTCCTGTATGCCTGCGGAAGCACTGAGTTACCTTTTATCTCATTAAAAGGGAATGACAAGCTTTCCATGCATTCGATTGCCCCTTGCATCTAAGGGAGGACATGGAAAGTCTGAAATTTTGGAGAAGCAATCAATGCCTGTGAGTGTAGACCAGTGATGGGGAACCTCCAGTTACAGGGTCTGAATTTGGCCCTCCTTGGGATCCTCATCTGGCCTTCCAGGATTCCTCAGATGGCCATGCCCCCTTCGCCTGGCCTCAACCCTTTTATTTGACCACTGTTTGGTGGTTTTCCAGCCTTGGCACAGTTGTTTTCACATTCTTCAACGTTGACATGCTCTCGTAAAGCTTACTTCCTGATAGTAAGAGCTTTTTTAAACGTACAAGTGGTTGGTATTTTTGCTCTGCTATTGTGTCCTTGGCCCTACTCTCCATTGGAACATGACCTCCAAGAGTTTCTCTTAAATAGAGTTTGGCCTTCAAGCTGAAAGAGGTTCAATGCTTCTGGTATACTCACTCTGTGACCGCCACAGGTAACCAGCCATGGTGAGTTGTGCTGTCTGAACCCAGTGGTGACTTAAAACTTTTCACAAAGGAGAACCCATGGCTTATTCAGTCCACAATGGCTTGTTATGGTGCCCAAACCCAACAGGGATGGCTTTGGTATGGATTGCTGGAAATGGCAATGCAGCTGCTTGGCAAGAACAAGAAGACCCCTGCTGCTTGCTTGCATGATCTCAGCAGTGACTCTCCTTCCATTAATGCCAAAACTTTGGAAGGACCATTGTGCATTCCTTGGCTTTTAAAAATTTATTTTGGAACCTCATAAAGGTGTCAGTGGGATCATGCTATTTTATTTCTTCATCACATGAGCATTGCACTGTTCTAGTTCGTTGTTGGTCCTTCATGAGGACACACATGCAACTATTTGATACAAGGTGTGACTGCATGCAGGGTAACGTGTGTGGGGACCAAGTGCGCCGCTGTCAACTGGGAAACCACCAGCAGAGGCTAAAAAAAGTGGAGAAAGACAGTGAGGAAACTCTGCCTGCTGTCCCCTCCTTGTCAGCATCACCTTCTCCATTGTGAATGTTCAACCTGACAGTTTTCAGTGCTATCAACCTTTTCAGCACTTACCTGAATCTGTTGCAAAAGCCATTAGTTTCAGTGTAGTAACAGCAGGTTTGCAAACATTCCCTTCATCTACTTCCCAGCAATTAAATGTATATTATATTGTGCAGGGTTTTTAAATGATAGGGTCAGTAAGTGTTTCAAAAAGGAGCCACCTCAAGCAGGAGGAGTATCTCCCCTTTCTGGAGTATTTAGAAACTTGGAAGTATTGAAAAGTGGAGGATACTAAGAACAGTCACGTTACATTTATAATGGAGAGGGTTACATTGCTTCTTCATTTATTTTATCATTTTTATTTATTGCATTTTT